CTTTGGTCCCCAATCTCGGAATAAAAGAAGCTCCTGTGGCAGAAGAGAAATCTAATCTTCCTGAGCGGGGAGCTCCTATTCCTTTTTCCCTTCTAGCCTCATAAAGAGGGCTGCCCTGTGTTTCTGCCCAAATACTGGTGGTTTCCAATGGGTCAAAAATGGCTAGGGGGATTGCAAGGGTTTTTCCTCCTGGAGACAAAGGGGATGCCCTCCTACCTCCTTGGGACTCAACTTTGAGCCCCTCTGTTCTTGCAGAGGGTGGCCCAGCAGTGGGATGGGTCCCTGTAGAGGTTTGTGAGGCATAAATATCAAGGCCACTTCCTCAACCCAAACACCCTAAAATCTTTTGGGTTAAAGCTCTGTGCCATAGTTGTCCGTGATTCCAGCAGATAGGGACAGGGAGTGAGGGCTGGGGACAGGTGCAAAGGGTTCTGTATTAACGGCAGGGAATGAGACCTGGGGTATAGAATCAGATGGGGAAAGGGGTCACCTGTAGTTCTGCACGATGTTCCGGGAAGCTTCCAGCTGTGCCCCAGACAGCAGCAGATTTCGGGGGTCAGTAACAGTGAAGAAGTGCCGGGCTCTGCCCAGGAAAGTGCTTTGATCCCAGCGAGGTTCCTGGATGTTGATATTTAAGGGCAACTCACCCATTTTCTGCAGGACAGGGAGCAGGGTCAGAGGACTCCAAGGAGAGGGTCCCAGGGCTCCACCTGGGGGAGCCTTTGGTGGCCCTGCCCTGGTCTCTGGGCCTATCGCCTATCCCTTCTGGAGCTCAAGGTGACTCCAGATCTGTAAGCAACAGTGGGGGGAGGAGCTGTTTTCTAGGCAATGTCCTGGCCCAGGGACCTACCACCACTGGAGGAGGCTGAGGGTGGAGGGAGGTGGTGGGAGGGGACAGAACCAGGAAAACAGATTTTGTGCTCTGGCCTAGTGCAGATTTTTCATGAGTGAGATTTTACATGTGTGTGGTTGATGCATGAGCAACAACTAATCCCATGCAGCTACTCTTGTGCTCTGTTTGCGCAAAAGTGCATATTATATGCATCCCACACTTAAGTTCATGTCAGCTTCAGGCCCCAGCTGCCCTGAGACCTGGATACAAACGCCCAAGGCTACTTGGGAAGGTAGCACAAGCCAGCCCACACCCCAGACCCAGATTGGACGAGAGTGGGAGCTCATTGGCCATCCTAGGGCTTATCTATCCTAGATCTCAAACAGGAACTCTGATGCCAGCTGGGTGTGTGTGTGTGTGTGTGTGTGTGTAACCCACACTGAATGGCCCAAGGCTCTCCTTGTTCCCCAGCTGGGCAGAGCTGGCACAGAAAGCCACCCCCTCTCTCCCAGAGCCACCTGCCTCCAGAAAGAGGTGAGAGTCTGTAAGTGCCCCCTCCACCCAGCACTGAGAGGAAAGCCTGGACCAGCCATCTGGCTGCATTTGGGCAAAATCCTGCAGAATGACTAATCCTCATTAACCACACTTCCTCCCTCACAGGCAGACACACCCTCCCCCTCTCCACACACTCACACTCACATACCCACAGACAAAGACACCATCATACTTGCCCTACGCAGTCATACACACAGGGTGGACACACCCTGCATGCACTGGCCCACAAAGACCGTAATGCACACCCCCCCCCCCCCGCCA